TACATGGAGATCATATCCCCCCTTATGTATTATACATGGAGATCATATCCCCCCCCTTATGTATTATACATGGAGATCATATCCCCCCTTATGTATTATACATGGAGATCATATCCCCCCTTATGTATTATACATGGAGATCATATCCCCCCCTTATGTATTATACATGGAGATCATATCCCCCCTTATGTATTATACATGGAGATCATCATCCCCCTTATGTATTATACATGGAGATCATATCCCCCCTTATGTATTATACATGGAGATCATATCCCCCCTTATGTATCATATACATGTCATATCCCCCTTATTATATGGAGATCATATCCCCCCTATGTATTATACATGGATCATATCCCCCCTTATGTATTATACAGGAGATCATATCCCCCCTTATGTATTATACATGGAGATCATATCCCCCCTTATGTATTATACATGGAGATCATATCCCCCCCTTATGTATTATACATGGAGATCATATCCCCCCCTTATGTATTATGGACACCCTGGAGATCATATCCCCCCCCTTATGTATTATACATGGAGATCATATCCCCCCCCTTATGTATTATACATGGAGATCATATCCCCCCCTTATGTATTATACATGGAGATCATATCCCCCCCCTTATGTATTATACATGGAGATCATATCCCCCCCCTTATGTATTATACATGGAGATCATATCCCCCCCTTATGTATTATACCATATCCCCCCCTTATGTATTATACATGGAGATCATATCCCCCCTTTATGTATTATACATGGAGATCATATCCCCCCCCCTATGTATTATACATGGAGATCATATCCCCCCTGTATTATGGATCATATCATGGAGATCATATCCCCCCCCTTATGTATTATACATGGAGATCATATCCCCCCCCTTATGTATTATACATGGAGATCATATCCCCCCTTATGTATTATACATGGAGATCATATCCCCCCCCCCTATGTATTATACATGGAGATCATATCCCCCCTTATGTATTATACATGGAGATCATATCCCCCCCCCCCTATGTATTATACATGGAGATCATATCCCCCCCCCTTATGTATTATACATGGAGATCATATCCCCCCTTATGTATTATACATGGAGATCATATCCCCCCTTATGTATTATACATGGAGATCATATCCCCCCTTATGTATTATACATGGAGATCATATCCCCCCTTTATGTATTATACATGGAGATCATATCCCCCCTTATGTATTATACATGGAGATCATATCCCCCCTTATGTATTATACATGGAGATCATATATCCCCACTTAATCTCCTCTTCTCAAGAGAGAATAAATTCAGAGGCAAGACATTCAGTGAGGGCGAGTAGATTCGGTCAGGTATTCATCTGCAAATTGAAAATATTGCCAAAGGTGCCAGGTGTCCCAAAAAATATCTCCTCATTATACAGGGTGGCTGTGAGATCCTCCATGTCCCTAAGCTCGTTCACCTTGCAAAACTACAATGAAAGGGTAGAAGGGTGGTTGCCTTTTCACCATATAGGAATACATGCCTTGACCATGTTAAGCAGCGATAGAAGCATTATATTTTTTTGATGGGTCTCCCCGAAAGATGCAACTGGCAGCCCGCCGGGTCATCATGCAGGTCCATAGCGGTAAGTTGTTTGATAATGTCAGTCACCCCTCACCAAAAGGGCTGAAGCCTTGGGCACTGCCAGAAGACATGGAGGAGAGTGCCACCATTGGCTCCAAATCGCTAACACACATCAGGAAGCTACGACGAAATACGGTGAAGTTTAGATGGCACCCGGTACCAATGCGTGAGGAGCTTATACTTGGTCTCCTGTACTTTGGTGGCTAAAGAAGACTTATGGGCAAAGTGCAAGATCTTTTCCCATAGTGACGTGGTAAAGGAGATGTCCAGGTCACACTCCCATTTAGATAGGAAAGGAGGAACAAAGTTGGGTTCCGGGTGAATAAGAGAAAAGAAGATGATGGAGAGGCTATGGTGAATTGGTTCTCCCTTGTGACATAGAGCTTCAAAAGGCAGTCAACTTTCAAGAAATACCAGGAGCACGCAAAACAGAACGCAGTTAGGAGCGGAGCTGAATACCTCTCCAGAAACTCAATGGGGGATCCACCAGTCGAGTAAAATCATTGGCAAGAAGGACCCTAGTGGGATTGAGAAAGTCCACTAAGTGAGAGTAGCCAGTAGTTGTGAGACAAGCAAATTGAGGGTCTTCTTGTCCTGGAGGGAAGTCAGGCTTTCCCAGAATGGTAACCAGAGAATAAGGCGCCGGAGAGTTGGACATGTTGCGGAATGCTTCTAGAGTAACTACAAGAGTGGCACCAAGAGTTAGGCATGCTACTAGGTCGGGAGGTAAAGGACATCGCATCCACGGCCAACTCAGGGCCGTGCCCCCAGAGTCCTCCAATTCCATGGCAATCCAGTGCTTGGCAACACCATGGCAGTGCCAATCAGCCAGGCGAGTGAGGTGAGCGGCTCTATAATTGGAGCAAATATCCAGCAAGCCCCCACGTCCACATGTCTTAGGCAGGGTCAGAACATGGAAAGCCAAATGTGACCCCCCCCCCCCATGTGACCAGATATAAGTGCGGAAATAGGGCATTGACCTTCCGAAAGGACGTGGGAAGCTTGATGGGGAGGGCTTGTAATAAGTACAGTATACGGGGCAGCACTGTCATCTTAAGGCACTACATCGACCAAACCATGTCAGCGTAAGGGATTGCCATCGGAGAAGGTCTTCCTTAAGAGCAGAATCTGGCATAATATTAGTGCCCAGGTACCTGATCGAGTCCGTGGCCCAATGGAAAGAGAAGGAAGGGCGAAGGTGACTAAGGACCGTGGACTTGGTGGAAATGTTCGGTGCCGAGGATTTCATGAGGCTGATTTTGAAGTAGCAGAGGCTACCATAGTCCCCAAGCGCCTGCAAAATATTGGGCAATAAGAGGGTCGTTAAGAAAAAAAGATAAGATCGTCCGCAAACGCGGCCATTTTATGTTCCCCAGATGGTTTATGAAAACCAGAGATATTACAATCTGCTCGGATCTCACACAGAAAGGGCTCCAGCGACAAAAATCAGAGGAGTGCGCAGCATGGAGCAGAGTCTAAAGACACTATTGGACTGAACAACACATATAGATCTGCACACTGCCGTATGTTGTCAGTCAAAATTGGAGCAGATCTGATGGAACCAATTTCTCAGTTCCCCCATCAGGCTCAGCCCATCTTCAGTATAAAACGGTCCAGCCAAGCATCTGTCAGTGTGATGGGCGCAGTGGCCAAGGAGGGAGGGTGGAACGGTGTGGGGGGCAGTAGTGTGTAGTATGGATCCTCTGCTCTGTGTACTTTTCAAGTTCGGAGTCTTAGAACGTACTAAACTCAAGCGGTTAGCTGACAGCCAGACAACAAGCATTTTCAGAAAGAGGTCAGCAGTCGCAGCCTCTATTATTTTTGTGCTTTCCTCAATAAGTATGGCGGCTGTGGCTTTAAAGCAACTTTGTTCCCAACTCTTCAAACCAACAATAAATCCACCCTGTAAAGAAAGAAGATGAATACATACTTATGTGGGTGGTGTTGTAAATCTTCACTATCATGAAGGAGTTGAGCAGTCACCACCACCAGCACACTTACAGCTGTCTTGGAAACCTGGTTCCTGGCCATGAACGGTGATTCCGTCTGCTGGACCCTACATTTTCTACTGTACTGTATGCAATAATGAACTGAACTAGAAACATGACATACTTTCCGGAGTCTTGGATACCTGGTTCTCCGCCATGCACAGCGATTCCTTCTTCTGGACCCTACATTACTACTGTATGCAGTACTGACCTGAGAACATGACATACTTTCCAGTGTCTTAGATACCTGGTTCTCCACCATACACAGGGATTCCGTCTGCTGGACCCTACATTACTACAGGATGTAGTACTGAACCAAGAACATGACATACTTTCCGGAGTCTTAGATACCTGGTCCTCCACCACGCATGGTGATTCCTTCTGCTGGACCTTACATTACTACTGTATGCAGTACTGAACCAAGAACATGACATACTTTCCGGTGTCTTGGATACCTGGTTCTTCGCCACGCATGGCGATTCCTTCTGCTGGACCCTACATTACTGCAGGATGTAGTACTGAACCAAGAACATGACATACTTTCCAGTGTCTTGGGTAGCTGTTTCTCCACCATGCACGGCAATTCCTTCTGCTGGACCCCCTACATTACTGCAGGACGCAGTACTGAACCAAGAACATGACATACTTTCCGGTGTCTTGGATACCTGGTTCTACAACACGCACAGCGATTCCTTCTGCTGGACCCCAACATTACTGCAGGATGTAGTACTGAACCAAGAACATGACATACTTTCCGGTGTCTTGGATACCTGGTTCTACAACACGCACAGCGATTCCTTCTGCTGGACCCCAACATTACTGCAGGATGTAGTACTGAACCAAGAACATGACATGCTTTCCAGTGTCTTGGATACCTGGTTTTCCGCCACGCACAGCGATTCCTTCTGCTGGACCCTACATTACTGCAGGATGTAGTACTGAACTAGGAACATGACATACTTTCCGGAGTCTTGGATACCTGGTTCTCCGCCACGCACAGGCGATTCCTTCTGCTGGACCCTACATTACTGCAGGATGCAGTACTGAACCAAGAACATGACATACTTTCCAGTGTCTTGGATACCTGGTTCTCCACCATGCACAGGGATTCTTCTGCTGGACCCTACATTACTACTATATGCAGTACTGAACCAAGAACATAACATACTTTCCAGAGTCTTGGGTACCTGGTTCTCCGCCATGCACAGCGATTCCTTCCGCTGGACCCTACATTACTACAGTATGCAGTACTGAACTAGAAACATGACATACTTTCTGGTGTCTTGAGTACCTGGTCCATCACCATGCACTGTGGTTCCTTCTGCTGGACCCTACATTACTACAGGACGCAGTACTGAACTAAGAACATACCATCAAGGCAGTTACCTGCAGCCCACTAGGTTTAATCCATACGGTTACATTCTGTGCATAGCTTCTCTTTGACTTGGGTTGCAGGGGAAATGGGCTCTTGTTGTCTTCTTCGCCATATGGATTCTCCTTGGCATCTAAAAAAGAAATGTGTTCTCAGCAGTGTGCATAAAAATCAATGATTTTTTTTAAAAAAAATAAAAAAAAAAATCTGATTTTTTTTTTTTAAATCGGATTTTTTTTGATTTAATCGGATTTGTTTTTATATAAATTGGATTTTTTTTTTTAAATAAAATGCTTTTTGAGGAAAATATATTACCATCCAAAGGTTATTCCATCATGAAATAAAGATTAGTTTTTTAATTATGTAGAATAAGGCTGTATATGTTTAATTTTTTTGGTAAATAAATTCCATGAATCCATTCACAATGTCAGGCTCTTCCAGAGGTTTTTGTAAGATTATTGGGCAGTTTCTCTGCCTACAAGATATTATCACAGATGATTGGTTTACTTTTGCAGTTCTCAAAACTGAATTGGACTCAGCGGAGATCACATGCCTCTTCTTCACAGCAAAAATGTTATAACATGAACAGAGTTAAGAAAAAGACCTTCATCCTAACTTCTACAAACCTATGAATACAGAATCAACCCCTTCACTGCCAAGGTGCAAGAAGTTCAGTGAATAGAATAGAAACAATATTTTTCTGATTGTTTGGAGTGGAATAGATCTGCACAAGAAGAAAGTGAAACTAAGTGTGAGAGGAGGGGGGGCTGACAGTGCGAGGAGGGAGGGGCTGACAGTGCGAGGAGGGGGAGGGGCTGACAGTGCGAGGAGGGAGGGGCTGACAGTCTAAGTTTCTTAAAATATATATATTTTTTGTTTAGCCAAATTAGTTACCAAACATGGATGTTTAAGCAAATCACATATGCTGGAATGTTATTGTTTCAGTTGAATAAATCTATTTAAATTGTTATTATTAAGGGAATGATTATTTTTCTCTCTTCCTAAGTACAACAGAAAAGTTGTCCAAATATGAATGATTAACCTATTAAACTGGGGATAAAAAAACTAATATGAAAAGTTGTTATTCTAAAAATCTTCATCTACTTGTATATTAAAGTTATAGCAGCAAGAATTAGTCTTTATGTAGAAAACTAGGATTTAAATCAAGCCTTACTGACTAGTGATTTAAATCAAATCCACCCTGATTCTCAGTATATGACGAATGAATATTTTACATTTTGACCACTTGCCCTACAGAGGATTTACCCCCCTTCCTGACCAGGCCATTTTATGCGATACGGCGCTGCGTTACTTTAACTGACAATTGCACAGTCATGCAACCCAAATGAAATTTACGTCCTTTTTTTTTTCCCCCACGAATATAGCTTTCTTTCAGTGGTATTTGATCGCCTGTGCGGTTTTTTATTTTTTGCGCTATAAAAAAATAAACAAAAAAGAACCAACAATTTTGAGAAAAATAAATATATATTTTTTTTTTTAATTAAACATGTCCAGTAAAAAAAAAAAAAAAAAAAAATTAAATATCAAGTTTCGTCATAAATTTAGGCCAAAATGTATCCTGCTCCGTGTCTTTGCTAAACAAAAACCCAATATGTGTAAATTAATTGGTTTACATGAAAGTTATAGCGTTTTACAAAAGGCGGTATATATAGACTGGGATTTTTTCTTCTACTAGTAATGGCGGCGATCAGCGATTTATAGCGCGACTGCAGTGGGCATTCTAACACCGGGGGGGGGGGGGGGGGGGGGGGGGGGGAACTGACTTGGTGTCACTGACATCCCCAGTGACACCAATACAGTGATCAGTGCTAATAAAAAGCACTGACACTGTACTAATGGCACTGGACAGGAAGGGGTTAACATGAGGGGCGATCAAAGGGTTAACTGTGTGCAGTGAGTTTTTTTTTTACTAGAGGGCTGTGTGTGTGTGTGTGTGTGTGTGTTTTTCACTGTAATCGCACTGCTGGATGGCTGGATGGCTGTGCAGTGTGCCTGAGCTGACAGGGAGGAGAACAGTTAGCAAACAAACAGTCCTCCTCCGTCGGTGATCATTGGATATCACCGGGTGCCGGCGGGGGGGGGAGCAGGTACCCGAATTTGACAGGTACCAGCTCCCACTTCCGGTCCGATCGCCTAGGTGATCGGAAGGTGTCCTCCCTCCCTCCCCCTGTAGTCTTTTGGGACACGTGACAGGTCCCAGAAGACTACAGGACCATTCATGAAGGGTGCCCACACTGAAGATGCCGGCCTTCTGGAATACAGGACGGCCGGTGAAACAGGCTGCGGGGGGGGGGGACACACCACAGGACCGAGGGACAGGTAAGTGGCTGTTTTTTAAGTCAGAAGCTACAGTTTTTGTAGCTTCTGACTTTTAATTCTTGATAGGTTGAGTGGAACTCCGCTTTAAGATTTGACAACAAAACCTGGAAGCCGATTGGTTACTATGCACAGCTGCACCAGTTTTAGTAAATCCCCCCTAATATCTCCCAGACCAGTAACAACCAATTATGCTAGAATGTTAGTTCACCAAAACTGCCTAAGCAAGTAAAGGTGCTGGAGATGAAAACGAACTGCAGCTTTAACTATAGTTGGTTACTGTCTCCAAATATCACCCAAACCGTACTCTCCACTCCTCGCACGACCTCCTGCTCTCTAGCTCCCTTGTCTCCTCCTCCCATGCTCTTCTCCAGGACTTCTCCAGAGCTTCTCCCATCCTCTGGAACTGGAATTCTCTACCCCAATTTATCAGACTATCACCTACTCTGCTCACTTTTAGGCGATCTCTGAAAACATCTCTCTTCAGGGAAGCCTATCCTGCCCTCAGCTAATAATGGAATATTCTATTCCTCCTACCAGTCCATCCCCCACAGTTACTACCTTTTGTACCACTAGCCCCTCCCTCTTAGATTGTAAGCTCCCAGGATCAGGGTCCTCCTATCCCTTTGTATTGAACTGTATTGTTGCTGTATTGTCTCCCGTTATATTGTAAAGCGCTGAGCAAACGGTTGGTGCTATATAAATCCTGTATAATAATAACAACAGTTGGATATAGGTGTGGGCTATTTACATAACTTGCAAAGCCTGGCTGAAAAACTCTCAGGGACAGCATCAACCCATCCTGCCTTGTTGCTAGGACGTTTCTAAGACACTGCCAGTCGTACCTGCTTCCCCCCACCCCCCCAATCATCACAGGAGCATGCTCTCTAACCCCTGCACATGTGCGGTCCACTATCTTCTCCACTGCAGCATCACTGAGCTTAGAGCTACTGCGACAGGGGAGAGAGCACATGTGTAAGGGGTTTGAACTACTGTGTGAGCTGTGATCATTGGTGTCAGTGGTGTCAACCCCATCATTGGTGTCAGTGGGAGGAATAGTGTCCCAACATTGGTGTCAGTGGGGGGAGGAATAGTGCCCCATCATTGGTGTCAGTGGGGGGGGGGGGGGTAATAGTGCCCCATCGTTGGTGTCATCGGGGGGGGGGTGTCCCCATCGTTGGTGTCAGTGGGAGGAATAGTGCCCCGCCGTTGGTGTCAGTGGGGGGGGGGGTAATAGTGCCCCATCGTTGGTGTCAGTGGGAGGAATAATGCCCCATCATTGGTATCAATGACACCAATGATGGGGCACTATTCCTCCCACTGACACCAATTACACTTGCTGACCCTGTTCTAGTATGGTGCTGCTGCAGCCAGCATATGTGGTTGCAGCAGCACCTCTACACTGAACACTTACCTGCTGCTACTGCACTCGATTTTCGTGGGGCCACTCGGCTCCGCCCCCTCACCGGCGATTGGCCGCCTGTGTGCCTTTCCTGAGCTACAGTTCTGGCGGCCAATCACCGGTGAGGAGGCGGAGCCGAGCAGCCACCCGAACATCCAGTGGCCGAACTGAGGGAGCAGCCGAGCTTCCTGGACCGGATCGTCGTGGGACCGGAGCCAGGTAAGAGACAAGACCTGCCCACCCCTGTACTTAGTGTCTCTTCCGTTGGAAGGGGGGGGGGGGGCAGCACCGCGCCGCCCCCCTAAAAAGTGTCAGTATGCCGTATACCGGCGTATAAGACGACCCCCGACTTCAGAGAAGATTTTCAAGGGGTAAAAAGTCGTCTTATACGCCGGCAAATACGGTATATACATGTGCCTACTGGCAAACTTGGAAGGGACATACCTAGGCACAATATTACATAGAATGATGAAAGAATGTATTGTAGCACTCGGGGTGCCCATGCTCAGTACTCATATTCCCCATGCTCAATGTTACGGTGACTAGCTGTGCCGCGCTCCATGGTCCTGCGCGGGCTCATGGCTCTCTCTCTCTCTCACTGTACAAAACAGGATTTCCTGCTGCTCCCAGCAATGCACCCATGAAGCCTGAACATGTGACCCCAAAAACGCAGTGCATTTTCAATGTTTTTTGTTGTGTTACCACTGAATTCTATGGAAGGTGCAGGACTTTTCAAACTGAAGCACAAATGCAGCACACTAATGTGAACAGCTACATACGATGTAACCACTTCCCGTCCGGCCCATGTATATAAACGACCGGACGGTGGCAGTGCAGGGGCGGGTTGCCATTCATAAATGGCACCCACCATTTAAGCCTGTGCGCGCTCCCTGGGAAGGCGATCCAGAACACCGATCGCTGTGCGGGACCTCTGTGTGAGGTCGTGATCACTGATTGATTGGCCAATCAGTGACCACATGAATAGTAGTAAGCAAAATGTCCCTTTCTGACATCATTGCTTACTACTAGTGAAATCTGTGAATGATCACAGAGATCACATGGTACAGGGCTATTCACAACAGCCTTGTACCATGTGACAAGCTGTGACCAATCACAGCTCTCACAGTATTTCTCAATGTCTGCAAGAATGCAGCCAGAGAGAAGGAGAAATGATTGCTTTTATAGCCTTTATGGCTATAAAAGCAATCAGTGTAAAAAAAAAATCATCACCCCCCCCACAAGTAGTACTGTGTCACTATGGTGACACTGTACTGCTAGCGTGACAGTATGTAAAAAAAAAAAAAAAAAAAATAAAAAAAAATAAAAAAAAAAAAAAAAAAAAAATTACAAAAAATATAATTTTTGGTTATAAACTAATTTGGATAATTGTTTTAACTAAAAAGATAGATGAATACATTTTGGCCAAGATTTACGAAGAAAGATTATTTATCTGCAAAATCTTATAAGAAAAGCACTTTTTTTCAAAATGTTTGGACTTTTTCATTTACATAGCAAAAAAAAAATCCCAGTGATGAATAAATACCAGCAAAATAAAGTTTTGTCTGTCTCAAAAAAAAAAATGCTAAAAAATTAATATGGGTACAGTGTTGCATGACTGCGCAACTGTCATTTCAAAAGTGTGATAGCACTGAAAGCTGAGAATTGGCCTGGACAGGAAGGGGGTGAAAGTGTCCGGACTTGAAGTGGTTAAAGGGGCATCATTTTCATGTGCTTTTGTTGTGCTGGACAGATGCGTTTTATCACAAAAAAAGCGCATTAGTGGAAAGAGGCCTTCCCCCCCCCCCCCCCCCCCCCCCCGGTCACATAAAAGCAGATTTTGAATTTATGCGACTTACAGTGAAGTCGGGTGACCTGCTGATTTCATTGCGATTTGCAAGACGTCTGACACAGATGTAAATCACACCAAACGTAGTGCATGTAGTACTGTAGAAATCGGTACGTCTCTGACCAAGTCAGAACCGCACCGATATGACCGCTCTAGTAGCGGACAATAGGGTGTGACTTGGCCTATGATTTCAAGTCGCCTGGCATGCAAATCGCACCCGATGTGACCGGGGTTTAGGCAAATGACTCAATGTCCCGTCTTTTACAGGCATGAGGGTGCACAGGTGTTGCATCCATCCCCATACCAGCGTCCCATTTTAGTCTATTGGGACACACGGCTGCATGGACACAGCTGCTGTGGCCCTATATGACATGTGGTTGCGGGTCCCCAAACGCACACACTGTTCTGAACATTCAGTTTAAAAAGATGGAAAGTACATTCATAGAAAACAAAGGTGTGCAAAATCTTACAGTTCCATTTCCTTTCAAAGCTGCCACAGCCTGAGTGGAGTAGCAGTCCTATAAAAGGACCTTTGCTCTGTGTGTGGAAGCAGTGGTCTCTCTCCTGGGGTGTGACACACCCCCTGCTGAGTCAGAATCAGTACTCTCCAATCAGCAGGACACTCATTGATTGCTTCACTGATTGCAGAGCCATATACAGTATCTGACACAGCAGGGGGCCCTGTGTGTTGGACCATTGCAGAGAGACCACTGCTTCCACACATAGAACAAAGGTCCTTCTCTTCAGCTCATACCCAACATTGGGCTTCAACATTCTGACTTGTACCTAATGTAGCACTACCCCCTTAGGAGTTGCAATAGATTTGGGTCCCCCTATAGTCCTGCACAGCCAAGCAACACACATTTTCCACTCAGACTTGCATCAGGAGGCAGTGACCAGTCCTTGAGCTTCGTTTTGAAGTTTTATTAGGGGGTTCAGAACTTGGATGGGGTGAGGGGCGTATAGGATGGCCGGGGGGAACGGCAACAGAAGGCAAATTCCTTAGCAATGATGTACAAGTCTATACAGCAAAATGTCTCTTCTGGAGAGCTAGCCAGCGTCCCCTGTAGTACCGCCCCCGAGGACTCCTCTCCTCATCCACATGTACTGGGTGCATCATTGGGCAGGGAATCCAATGCTTGCCACTGCAGAGTGTACAGTCCCGGGTAAGAGAACAAATCGAGCTTCCCACCAGAGGGCTCCTCTTCCCTTACTGGCAGGGTGCAGGCTTCTTCACTTGGTCCCCTCCTGTGCTGCCAGTGACTGCTACCAGACCTTCTAGCTGGGCCGCTCCTTCCCTGCTGTACAGGTGGGCCTCTCTCAGGGGACAGAAGTCCCAAATTATCTTACAGGGTCCTGTGCCTGTAGGTGAGCCCCTCTCCATCCGGGCACCCTAACATCCTATCCTACTAACTACTCCTCCATGTACCCCTCCACTGAATGCCTGCTATCCTACCCCCTACCAT